TTGCAGGATGATCCTTCAAAAACAGCTTCAGCTCTACGAGGGAATTTCTATATTACTGGAGACAGAGGCTATATGGATGAAGATGGGTATTTCTGGTTTGTTGCAAGATCAGATGATATCATATTATCTTCTGGGTAACTTTCTTTTCCACATGTGCATGTGTGTTTATTAAGCATTCTGGGAGAATCTGTAACTCACCTTTATGAGTTCCTGTCATGTCTTCCTAGTTACCGAATTGGACCATTTGAAGTAGAAAGTGCCCTGATGGAGCATCCTTCCATTGCAGAGTCAGCTGTGGTCAGCAGCCCAGACCCCACCCGAGGAGAGGTAAAAGAACTGACCATCGACTTTCAAGTCTGTTGATCATCTAAATACATACTTCATTTAGTTGTATGGCTTTGTATGTGTTATATGGATGTGTGTGTGTATGTGTGTGAGATTTCCCTGTGCAGGCACGTATGGATATTGAGATACCTTCCTCAACACCTTCCTTCACCTTTTTTTTTTTTTAGGCAAGGTTATTCCCTGAAACCGGAGCTCACTGTTTAGGCTAGGCTGTTTGGTAGGTCAGTGAGCCCCTGCCCCACCTGTCTCCTACCCAGTGCTGGGGTAACCTTCAAACCTTCATTGCCATACCTGTTTTTTGTTTTGTTTTGTTTTTGCATGGGGCTTGGGATTCAAACCCAGATTCTTATTTCTTATGCGCAAGGAGCAAGCACTTTACTCATGGAACCATATTCACAGCCCCTAAACACACTTTTAAACAGTATTTCATGTAAAACAAATTACTTTACTTATTACTATCGCATTAAAACCAGGATGGCTCTCCTTCCAAGATTGTTTTTGCTAAGTGATTGCTGATGCCAGAGGTTAGCATGTTGTGTTTGTGGAGGAAACCAAGCTCTTTTAGGTCTTGAGCAGTGTGAATGTTAGCACTATTTTATTGTGAAGGGGACTACGTGAGGTAGATGAGAGGAGGGGGCAAATAGTCTTTAGAGTGGCTCTTCACTAAACTTCACTCACAGGGTCTTTGCTCTTCCCACACCTTGCTGTCATCATCACTTCTGTCTATCCAGGCAAAAGCGTATCTGGGACAAGGTAGTTTGTAGAGCCTTTTAAAACCAGGGCTGGCTCGGCAGTCACCAGGTATCCCAGGGTGGGTTACAGTTCCTCTGTGGTTGTAGAGTCTCGATGTGGTGTTGACATTAGCCAGAGTGAGGGGAAATTCTGGTGGGCTGCAACACTTCCTGGTGGAGGACAGAGGGGGGTCCACAAGGTATCCATGCACAGAACAGCAGCGTGCTGCACGGCACAGGCAGCCTTTTACTCTCTGTGGCAGGCCGGTTCTAGCCAGTTTGACTCCTTCTCTAGGAAGGGGCCAACCAGATCTTTGATTGGGTAGCAAGTTCTAGAAGGACGGATCAAGATTACACATAATGAAGACGTCAAGGCACTATCCTACGACGCTGCCTATGGCAGTTGTGCCACTTACTGCGCACTGTTTACTGTAGCCTGCTCTAAGGGTTCCTCATGTAGTCAAGCCAGACCACATTTGACAGTCTTCATGAGGTTCAACAGTGTTCTCAAGTGAATTACCTAAAAGCAAGTAAGATTTTAAACAAGCATTTTCTTAACTGCTTTGTTAGTATTTTCTTAGTTGAGTTTCGTACTTTAATATTTTTAAAGAATTTCACAGGCTGCTTTGCTTTGCTTTGAAAATTTCAGAAAAGATGTAACTTAACAGTGGAGAGCTTGCTTAGCATGTGTAAGGCCTGAATTTGATTCCCAAAGTCTGTCTCTCTCTCTTTCTCTCTCCCTCCAGTGGTTTATATTTAATTAATTTTCCTTTTTAAAAATTTATTTATTTTTATGTGTATTGGTGTTTTGCCTTCATATGTCTGTGTGAGGGTGTCAGATCTCCTAGAACTGGAGTCAAAGACAGGTCTGAGAGCTGCCATGTGAGTGCTCAGAATTGAAACTGAGTCCTCTGGGAAAGCACATGAGGCTCTTAACAACTGAGCCATCTCTCCAGGCCCTGATTACTAAAAATTTTAAATGTGTGCTTCCTATAAGCTATTTTCTTTTTCCATCAAGTTAATTGCTCGTGAAAAGGTCATGTTATGCAGTCCAGGCAAATCCTCCTGCCTCTGCCTCAAAAGTACTGGGACTGGCCTTGCCTTTATTAGGCAAGCATCTGCCACCCGGCACACCCCTGCTCCTGGTCCCTAACCTCAGGTATGACAAGGAAGGTGCTTATGTTCACATTCTGCCAGGAGGCCAAATATGTGTTAAGAGTAAAACAAATTTGTGTAAAATATATATAATAAAAATATAGACGGAAGTAAATATCAGTGTCACAAAAGAAAGAGAAAGCCTGGAGAATTACTCTAAATTAAAGAATACTAAAAGACATAACAGCAAAACATGCTGAAATCACAAGTGTGCATTGCTGTGCCTGGAAGGATTTTGTCTTTTTTAAAAGACAAGATTTCCAATAAGGATAACAGGGCTGAATGAGTTCTGTTATTTCTGAAAATAATACTTAATATTTTAAATGCTATTTTAAAAATACTGGAACATGGAGGGAAGTAAGGAGCAGTGGAAAGAACAAAGGCAGCCAGGCAGGGATGCCTCAGAGGTTAATAGTATTTGCTGTTCTTGCAGAGGACTTGGGTTCATTCCCAGGAGTCACTGTGCGTGGGGGTGGCAGGGCTCAGGATGCTCTGTAATTCTGATTCTACAGCATCTGGTGCCCTCTTCTGGCCACCATGGGCACCAGGCCAGCACACGGTGCGCATACATGCATATAGACAAAACTTTCATACACATCAAATAAAAACAATAGGTAAATCCTTTAAAAGAATTTAATAAGGAAGGTAGGTAGGTAGGTAGATAGGTAAGTTACTGAGATGGCTAAGCCCTTAAATTCCTTGGCTTGCAGAGCTCTAAGAATCTGACAAAGGCCACAGGCCACTGCTGAACTTGGGCTTACACAGTCATGAAAATGTTTTTCACTAGAAAATAGTAAATATAAACATACAGGGCTACAAGTCACACACAATATGATGAGACTGAATAAAGAAACTGAATTAAATTAGCCACATGTTGCTAGTGGCTGTACACAAACTGGGCCAGCCATAGACACTGCTCAGAAAAATCTAAGATTTTCCACAAAATTTCAGAGAAACTTAAAAGCTCAAATGATTAATTTTTTAAAATTACATTTATTTGTTTACTGTAGAGCTCAGGGGGCAGTTTTGGAGAGGTGGCTCTCTCTTTCCACCATGTGAGTGCCAGGGATCAAACTCAGATGTCAGACTCGGAAGCAAGTGCCTTTCCCCAAGCCATCTTGCTGCCCCAACATGATGGGTTTATGGGTTTAAAAATTACCAAAGCAAGCCAGGCGTGGTGACACACACCTCTGAGTTCAGGGCCAGCCTCGCCTACAAAGCTAGTCCAGGACGACCACAGCTATACAGAAAAACACTGTCTTGAAAAAACCAAAAACCAAACCAAACCAAACAACGAAAATGCCAATGCAAAGGCAACAAATGCAAACACCCTCAGTCTTTGAACTTTTGCTACTGAGCTGAGTAGGGCCTAGAAGCTGAGTTGTTACACAAGAGTTTGTACTCAGTGTGCTGCCCTGTTTCTAAGGGGAAGCCAAGGACAGAGGTAATCAGACTCAGATCAGAACACACATTTCAAAATGTAGTCAGGGCAGGGTTTCAAGGGTGATCCTGAGCAAAGCAGGCTGGTACTGAGAAGAGACTGAGTATGGATCACCTGGGTGGCTTAGGAACAGAGGCACACAGTAGGGATCACACTACACCATGGCCCCACTCCCACAGTTCATTCCCCCAGGTAGACTCCCAGTGAGAGAGCAGACAAGAAATACCAAGGCGTCGAAAGCTTAACTTATGTGATGTATTACTAATTTAGGTAGTGAAGGCTTTTATTGTTCTGAATCCTGATTACAAGTCCCACGATCAAGAACAACTGAAAAAGGAGATTCAGGAGCATGTGAAAAAGACTACAGCGCCTTACAAATACCCCAGAAAGGTAGGCGTCCTGTTACAACTGGCATTTGTTCAGTACTTTGGAAATATTTCAGCTATTTGTTTTTTCCTTTTAAATGACCTTTCCCCTTAAATATGCTATTCAAGAAGTTCCAAACAGAATTAATGACAATAGATAATCCAAATTTATGAGGTTAAACCGAAGCCCCTAACCTAATTCAGTCAATTAGCTCATAATATTAAATGTTAAAAAGCAAGCAGGCCAACAAACAAACAAAAAGCCCAGCTTCAAGCGTCCTTTCACCCAGCAGTCAGGACAGAGCTAGTACATGACTGGCATGAGCTGGTTTACTGGTGCTGAACTAACTTCTTCCCTTCACACCAACAGGTGGAGTTTATCGACAAGCTGCCGAAGACTGTCAGTGGGAAGGTCAAAAGAAATGAACTGAGGAAAAAAGAATGGAAAACCATTTAAACTCATTGCACAAATCACCTGCAAACAGTGTTCACAAGCCTGCAGATCCCAGCTGCAGGTCATCTGGGGAGGCTGCTTTTATGTTGGATTAAAGTACTCTGCAGTTATGACATCAGAGCCTGAATTCTGAAATCAATCAGTGACTCCTGCATTCACGCCAACGTTCCTACAATTTGGTAACATATAACGAATGTGATCGGTTGCTGAGGTGTTTTAAAATGTATTTTAGGAGTTCTAAACCAAATCTCTGTCCCACTGGTTTTCAAAACTTAGCTGAACAATTCTGTTAATCATATAACAAATCATAACAAACCTCCAAGCTTTGAATAAAAAGCTAAATAATTTGTTTTTAGAAAATTGTCATAATTCTTAGAATATTTACCTAACACTTGAGTAAGAATTTTATTAGTCATATTTTTATTCAAATAATTTTAAAGGTTTGAAATTTGTGTCATGATCTAACTATAAATGACAGCTCTCATGTTCCATAGCTACTTATTAAATTTAACCTAACAAATATGGTTTATAAAAATATTTTCTTGGGGTTCTTTATGATATTTTGATAAATTCAACATATGTTAATAAATAAAATATAATTATGTGAAATTATCCAAATACTCATGCTTGGGAATTTAAGGAACCAGGATTCCTACATGCACAGACAACAGACAGTTGACAGACAACTACTGGACTAGAGTGCAAGTCATGCAGTCCACTTCCCTTCTGTGTGAACTGCTCAGTGGAGCTGGAGTACTCAGGCATTCTGAGACTGTGTAATTTGACTCAATACTGTTCTCAGTCCAGCACAAATGTCATAGAAGGCTTATGCTGAACTAAAAGACAGTTTAGAAGAGGGTTTATCAATTTCTCATTGAAGGTCTGAGTCGTAAAGAATTTTTAATAGGAAAACTTAAATTTCTGTCAGGAATACGGCTTGTTTCTGGAGAGCTGAAAGTGAGTCCCTCTGAGGAATGAGACAGAGATTTGCTATTGGCTCTTTCCTTTTGAAGTGCTTGTTCCCACTTAAAATACCCACAGCATTTTCTGTCTTCTCGGTATTTCCCAACAGGGCAACAGTAGAAGGCTTTCCCATGATTTGGCCCATTATTTGAAACAATAAGCCGCTTAGACCTTCTGCCACACTTGCATAAGGGGGGTGTCATCTTTCCAGTCTTCCAAGGCTCTTGTAGATTCACTGTGGATGCTAATATGGAGAGAGGAACTTTACGGGAAGAAGTTCCTGCAGAGCAAGTAGATGATGTCAACTTGTCTTCATGAATAGCGAAGGTCTGCTTTTTCGCTCGTGGGAAAGCTAGGGAACTAGAGGAATTCCTTTTAGTACCACCTAAAAGAAGAGGCTGTGTCCTTAAAACTGAAGGATGTGACGCGTTGGCACTGACACTGTTGAAGGGAAATGGTTTGCATTCGGGTAATTTAAAAGCAGAAGCATCTGATGGATGTTTGACTCCTTTTACATCATAAACTGTGCTGTGAGGACTTTTGTACACAATAGACTTAGATGTTCCAGGGTGTTGAGGAGTCTCCTTAAGGTCTGCAAAGTTTTCATAACTAAGGATTTCTGATTCTTTTAAAACCACTGACCTCTCTCCAGAATCAAATGAAGTATCTACATTTGTGTCACTCCTGGGAAGCATACAATCTGTATCTTGCTCAACCTGAGATGCTGGCAATAAAACTACATCTTCCCACTCAGCCAACATAGGTAAACAGTCAAAAGTGCGATCCATCTCTACATCTGAAACATGATTAACAGATGGAATGGTTGTAGATACAAGTACCAAGTTGGAGTTAAGTGTTGGGGACTTTAAGCTGTCATTTGAGGTAAGCTGATCACTTTTTCTTAGCTTCAAGGTAGGAGAACAAAATTGTTCCACAGAAGTTGAGGGCTTAGTAGTAAAAAGAGAAGAGCAATGTTTGATATTGTTAATATCTGCTTTCATGTTGCTCTTTAGTTGTAACTGGTCCTTTATAGAAGAATTCACATAAAATGAATCCATTTGAGCATTTTCCTGAGTTTTTACTGTACTTTCGGGCTCCTTCTGATATATGCTGGGACCCTGGATGCTAATGTTGCAGGCAGATGCTTCTTCAACTTGATCTGTAACCAAATTTTTGGCCAAAATCTTGGGATTCTTCTTAGTGAGAACCTATGATTCCACAGACAAATCCACCGCTTTAGGAACGGCATTTATAATTTCTTCAGTAGACATTATATATGACCAAAAAAGGGAAAAATACTACTGTATATAAATGACTACGCACATGAAATCAAGATTTTAATAATCCTATGACTACTACACTAGACCTCAAAATGACAAAATAAAGAGGCAAGACATTACTAACCTTATTCAAGGACCTGGTAATTTTCATTAGGCAACCATCCCTGATCATTTTCCAAGCAAGAAGAGCAGTGTTCCGAGAATCATCTAAGCCTGAGGAAATAAAGTATCAAACACCGAGTGCTGTGGTACTAACATGAAAAAAATAACAGAAAACAAATTACATTTAAACAGAAATTGAGGTATACTGTTAGTTTTGTGACCACCTGATTTTAATCATCATAAATTGGTCTGTGAGAAGTTGGGACAGCATTACTAATGGATGATACGATGGCTTGTACCTGCACAGATGAAAATTTGTTAGGCAGCCTCCAAAAATGTGACCAGCATTCTGTACAGATCATCATTTATGAAAATATAGTAATGTACAGTTTTTTTCAGTAGTCCATCATATTATCTGGGCACTTGTGTTACTATTTGATGTGCTCATTATTTTCATTATTATTTATTTTTAAACAAACTAGAACCACTACATGGTAGTCTTTATCTAAATTCAAGAAACTCGTAATTCAAAAATAATAGTTTGAGTTAAGAACATTTTTTTAGGCTGAAAGGTATTAATACTACTACTATACTCTAAATGGAACTAATATAAAAAATTTTACAAAAGTCAAATGACTTACAGAATGAAATGACTATTAGTGTATACAAACCAGAATGTTCTCGTCCTGAAAATTCTATTCCCACTTCCTGCAAGGCACCACTCAGTCCTTTGGGTTTCCTCTTATAAAAAAGCTAATTAAATAAAAAAAAGACACATTTATAAAAATACAATGACTATCACAAAGGCTATGAAGTTATTTCTTATAACTTTTAGTTCTATAAGATTTGAGAGTGAGTACTAATGTGCTGTCTCAAATATTTTAATTAATTACATCTCTATGTGAACATTCTTAAAGGAAAAAATTCCTTATTTGTAGAAATTCACACCAATAAGATTAAAATGCAACCACTTTTCAACAGGAACAAAGTGAACATCCTCCGTCCTTGGTCCTTACCTTGTAAGTCGCTCTGAGATCAATCCAAGCATTTAAGCACACAGGTTTTAACAGCTGCTTTCTTCTACACTCATACTCCAGGCAAACGCCCAAGTCCCAGTCTGCATAATGGACATTAAAATAAAACCGGTGAAGTCAGTGCTTTTCCATTTACAAATAAAACATGTAAAATGAGATAGAGTAGAATAGTTAAGATTTCACTACTGTGCTATTATTCGTACTCATGTGTTTCATATTATCCTACATCTTATATAACTTGCCATTAAGAAATTATGTTGATGATTATTTCAAAATAATATATTCCCTGTGTGCGTACTGGTATATATGCGTGGTGGTCATGCATGCCAGTGCAAGTGGGTGGGTGTGCAGGTCAGAGCACAGCCTCAGGTGTTATTTCTCAAGTGTCACCCATCTTATATTGAGTCAGGGTTTCTTATTGGCCTGGAGAATCATGATTTTAAAAATATGAATGAATTTGCTTTTCTTTGTTAGTATCTGCATGGCCCTTGACTTTCTTTCCCTGGGCAATGAGGTCAACAAACATAATTTTAGGTTAACAAGAATAAAACAAGAAATAAGGGACTAGATAGTGGCAATGCTACTCTTCTTTGATGGGTGGGGCTTATGTATGTATAGTATGTGTGTGTACATTTATGTGGAGGTCTAAGGCTGACATTAGAGGCCAAGTGTTTTCCACCTTATCTATTTAGCCTAGGGCTTGCTGCTTTGCAAGTCTGGCTAGCCAGCTTGCTCTTGGGTTTCCCTGTCTCCACCTAGTGTCCTTGGAGTACAGACAGACAGTTGTGTCCAGTGGCTTTTACATGGGTCGTGAGGATCCCAACTCTGGTCCTCATGATCACACAACAAACACAGTATCTCTGAGCCACCTCCTCGGCCTCAATGCTCCCCAGTGTGGTTCACAGGCATAACTCAGGTTACCTGACCAAGTAACAAAAGCGCACAGCTTTACTTCAGAAGTGGAAGGCTCAGAATCCCCAGTAGCAAAACCGATTTTCTTCTGCTGCTGAATCTGATGAATCCATTTACAGAACTGAGATAAGCAAATCTTCAGGGGAACCCCTTCATCAACTTGAACCTAATTAGAGATATGAACTCACAAATGAACTCCTGAGCCACTGGGCATTTACAACAACTCTGCACTGTGGGGCTGGAACAAGAAGAAGTTCTGACTGACAGAGCTCATCTAGTAAAGAGATGTCAACACATACAGGCAGGAAGTACTGCAGACCTGAATTCACTATGGTAAGAGAAACTAGGCTGGTAACTCTATACAGTCTCACCCAAGTGTAATCTTTAAGCCAAGTCTCACAGAAATAAAAGACAGTGGGTTGCATTAGTTCTGTAAAATAAACTGTCTCTGGAGCTCACACCCTGAACTTCACACTCCCTAAGCAAGCACCCTTACGATAGCTACAACCCTTGACCTTGTTTGTAGCATTATTCTGATTTTTTTTTTTCTTCAGGATTCCAGTGAATCTCTGGAGGGGACATTATTTCTCTTAAGACTGAATAAATTAAAAAAAAAAAAAAAGACTGAATAAATTAAATTCCAAGTGTTAGTTGGCTTTTATTTTTTCTTTTGGAAACTGGTTCTTGGCTTCTAAAATTTGCATCATACCTGTTTTATCCCTGTCAGTTCTGTGCAAAATTCAGAAAGAATTGGATGTTCTTGAGGCTGAACATAAGCATGAAATTCAGATTCAATCTTTCCAGTTGCTGTATTCAACAAAATTGCTGGAAATTCAACTAAATGAAAGAAGCATGGGTGAACACTTAATTAATTAACTAATTAATTAATGTATTTATTTATTTTGAGGTGGGCTCACTATATAGTCCTGGTTGGCCTGGAAATCTAAATAGACCATCAGTTCTCAACCTGTGGGTCGCAAACCCTTTGGCATGGGGAGGGGGGTGTCAAATGACCCTTTTACAGGTCACATATCAGATATTCTGCACATGATATATTTACATTATGATTCCTAACACTCACAAAGTTACAGTTATAAATTAGCAATAGAAGTAATTTTATAGATGGGGTCACCAAGACATGAGGAATTACATTAAAGGGTCACAGCATTAGGAAGGTTGAGAACCACTAATATAGATCAAGCTGGCTTCAAACTCAGAGATCCACCTGTCTCTGCCTCCTGAGTGCTGGGATTAAAGGTGTGCATCACCACACCCGGCTGGCCTGAATATATACATCATCCTAAACATACACTGTTTTTATAATAGCATTACTAAGCAATCAATTCCAGTAAACGCTTATTAGAATAACCAAAACAGTGAGAAACAAATTTATAATAAAGCTGTGGGAAGTAATAAGTCAAAATATCAAAGTTATGTGTCCATTTAGGTTTACAATTAAATACGAAGACTACATGAGTTAAAAAGCACTCTATTATTGCAAAGCCATTTTTTTTCAGTTACTATCCAATTAAAGTTTCAAATATAATCTTAAAACAACTAGCTACTTTGCATAATCTCATTCAGGCATTTGGTATTTTATTATTTTTTTCGGTGAGATAGTTTTTATATTAAACTGCCAGCACCCTGTTATATTAAACAGCACCCTGTTTTCTTATTGGCTGGTTCATATCTAAAATCTTAAGAAGACTCATGGAGCACTAGCTTTGGCTACTGGTAGTCGAAACTTACTTATTTCAGGGCTATTGTGGTGCCTTCCATCATTCCAGCACGTGGACTCAAAATCAACGACAATTAAGTAGTCATACAACTGTTCTGCAAAAGACCAGAGTGTCCTTCAGCTATGCCAATGTTCGGAGTGCAAGGCTTCAAAATGTAAACAAAACATGGGACTTACTGATTCTGCTTCTCCCTGGATTCCCACTTGCTGGTGTAACTGACTTTCTCCTAATTAATCCAAGCCGCCTAAAATCGAGAAAC